GTCCCGACTCTCTGTGGTCATTAAAAATCCCAGGGTGTTTCTCGAAAAGAGTAGGGGTGTTACCCCGGTGTCCTGGCCAAATTTCCCCCTGGCATTTACCAATCATGGCCTCCTAATAATCCCAGTCTATGAATTGGCTTCATTACTCTGCTCTCCTCCCCACTGGGAGCTGGTGTGTGGTGAGCGTTCTGGCACGCTATGGCTGCTGTCACATCATCCAGGTGGGGCTGCACACTGGTGGTGGTGGAGGGGAGTCCCCATTACCTGTAAAGCACTTTGAGTGGAGTGTCCAGAAAAGCGCTTTTTATCTTTCAATCCCAAATCCAGACATGAGGACTGGGAATCCAGCAGTTTTTCCCCGTCTCTTTACATCGTCAGTTTATCCCTCCTGCCAGCTAAACTGATCTGCAGACCTTTTGCTGGGATCCCTGTGGTTCAAGACTCCAGGACTGGTGTGAGCAAGCTCTGGCACCAATCTCTTCTTGTGGGTTGGTTTGTTGTTGTTTTTCTTGAACTGAATTGTGTTTTCAGAAGAACATAGACTTTGGAGGCAAGCTGTGTTTCCCCTGTTCTACAACAGGAGCTTGATGACTGCAGTCTGTCAGACTTTAGAGGCTCGAAATCAAAGAGCTCAGGTTCTGTATTATAAACCTGGTCCGCCACTGGTAAAGGCACAAACACGTGCAGTGAAATGGCACGAATGGGCGATACAAGACTTAGGTGAAAGAAATACAGCCAACCTGCATAAAGAGGGCTAGGAAAATAGGAGAGTTAAGCCTATTGTGCAAAAGCAGACCCCGCTGTTTAATATAGCGAACTCTCCGCCTCTGCCCTTGAATCACTGTGTCACCCTGAGCCAGTCATGAGCCTCCGTCCTTCCACACCAAACGGATCCTGTCATGAGTGTCTCCGCAGCTGCAGTGGGTAACGGTACAGCCGCTCAGCTGGTTGTTGTTTCCCAGAGACGTTTCGCTGTCCGGCACAGCAGCGAGTTTTTCATTTTTGCGCTTCTCGTTCTGCTTCATACTCTGTGAATTTACTTGGAAATGGACTGACCGGCCGAGCTCCAATCATTGGCACGCCTCTTCTTCTTTTTTTTTTGCGTGTTTTCAATCACGACGGGACTGGACTGCTTTCCGAAAAGGCAGATGCGTCCGCTTTCTTCTGCCCCGAACCGGCAAACACGACCTGCGCTAGCCGCTTGAGAAGAGCTCGCAGGAGCGGCGGCCAACCGGGGAGTCTGGGATCGCCGGAGGGCTCTTCCGCTCGAATTTGAATGCTTTTTTTTGTTTTACTTTCTTTATTTGCATTTCGTTTCGTTTTAATTGTCAGTGACATACTGCGGCGATGACATCTCCGAGGATTAAGCGCTCCTTATGGACCTTGGCGGTTCCCCTGTTCTGTAAGTGTCGCTTTCACTGCCTTCTTTTCCCCGCTTGTTAGACTTTTTTTACTGTAGTTTGTCTTCGGTTTATTTCGATTCACTGTACCCGGCATGAGGGGTAAAGTGATTTTTCACCGCAGTTCACAGTTCATGCGTAACCAAGTGAAGGCGCGTGGAACTGTCTGGAGACTTCAGCTACTTTATAATAAACCAGACATCACCCCCATTCGCGAAAACACCGCGTTATATTCGCCAAGTCAAAATTCCGCAAGTGTTACTACGTTTTAGAATCAGGTCTGAAAATCATGACATTCCTAACAATTTGTCAACACGCACACAAATTTTCAGTTGTGGATTAAGGATGTATAGTCGTCTCGGAAAAAAAATAAACAGTTTTCAGAGAATAACAGTCACTAAAACACTCTTGAGGTGTAATTCTGATCTGTTCCGTATGATTTGTGAATAATACTGAATTTCGTAGCATTGTTGTACTGCGCTAGGAGCGGCGCGGTGCCGCATTGGGGAGCACTGCTACCTCACAGCGCTGGGGCCCTGGGTTCAATTCCTGGGGTGCTGTCTGTGTGGAGTTTGCATGCTTCCCTCGTGTTCAAACACGTGGCTTTCCTCCCACAGTCCAAAGACATACTGGAAAGTTAATTGTCTTCTGGAACAAAATGTCCCTGGTGTGAGTGTGTGTGTTTGTGTCTGCGTGTGCACTGGGACGAACTGGTGTCCCATCCAGGGTGTGTCCCACCGTGGGCCTGTTGCTTGCTGGGATAGCCTCCAGCTCCCCTGCGACCCTGTACTGGATAAAAGAGTTCGAAAGTGGATGGATGGACTGCGCCAGTATGAGTCCACTGCTACACCTCCTCCAGAGGAAGAAATATGTGCTGAAACCTCACATCTGAAGCTCCATCAGTGAGGCGCCGGTAGGCCTGGACTGGAGCTCAGTTGCTGGAAGGGGTCTAGTGTGTCTGCAAGGTGTTCTAGGTGCTTTTGGAACAGCTGCACCCAGGAACTTGGAAAAAGACATTCAACTGGTCCAACAGAGTGCTGAGCTGGAATGGAAAACTGGGGAACCAGCGCAGGAGATCTCTGATCTAGAACTCCAATCTAGAGTGCCCCGATCTAGAACCCTGTGACCATATATGGGCTTCAGTGGATCGCTTTAGGCATTCTACACTGTTACTACTCGTGTAGTTCCCAACAGTGTTCCTTTGCCATTTGTTCCTTAGTTAACTGGGAGCTGATTTAGCTCTGGAGGAGCGATCTCAGACAAAGGCGCAAAGCAAAGCAACAAGCAATATTTATAGCGCCAAATTCACAGGTGAATCATCTCTCTTCACAGAGAAGAAGGCGCCGTTTATCCGGATTTCTGTATTTGTAAAGTCTTCCACTTCCAGAGAAGTAGGACCCAATAATAAATGAAAGCAACACACACCAGTCTGAATAATTGGAGCCTGTTCAACTATATTAATATCTTGAACTTGAACTTTATTGCCGTATGTATCCGGTACATGTACTGCTACAATGGAATTCTTACTTACAGAAAGTCTCTTGATTGTTAAAAAAAAGCGTAAAACAGAAACTGCAGACAGTGCATCAAGACGATATACAAACAAACAGTAGACAATGTACAAGTAAACAGTAAAAAATAAACAATGCAGACATGTAAACAACGACTGCAGATGTGCAATAAATAAAATTACAATGAGGTAGATGGTGTAGGTATCATATATCATTAAAAATAGTGCAAACCGGCTTCCAGGCTGTAACTTCTGCACTGTTGTTTGCCCCCAAAATTAAGAGCTGCCTCTCCTGGCCGTTTCAAGGTGAAATTGAAAGAAATGTGAAAGAGCTCCACATAGGTTTCCTTTCTGAAAGCTCACGGTTGTATAGGTAAGTTCAGCACAGCATCGTGTAATGCAGTAAAGCGCAGTGAAAGCGTGTTATTAGTGTAGAGAAAGTCAGGCCGGGGGGCAACTCGAGACCCCTTGACCATGGAACCTGTTAGAGGGGGAGTTTTTGGGACAGGGGGCTGGAGATGCTTAAGAACCTCAGAGCTGCTGACACCCCAATGAATTTTAATGGTGCAAAAGACAGCTCGCTCACCGCTATTAACATCTGTTCTTGTGGCACAGTGTCTGCGAGTGACAGTTAAAATCATGCGACCTCATCCTTTTACATGATAGCTGTTAGATACGCAGAATGATGTTTCTCAGTTATGTGGTTTCGACCGAGTGGGGGTGGAGGCAGCCAAAACACTGTTTTTGTTAGATATCCACTGACAGTGTAGAGCATTACTGCTCAAATTCGAAACCAGTGTTGTTCCTCTTTAGGGGCTCTGTGTACAGTAGTTGCTGATGTGGTCTCACACATTACCTTAAATGATCTTATTGACAAACACCAGCCTAGTGCCATTCAGTGGCAAAAACACACTGCTTTAGCACTGACAGTTTGAATTCCTGTGTCAGAGGTGGTACGCATGTGCGTTGACCTTTTCTACAACCTTATATTGAAAATGATCATTTCGCTAATAATGTGGATTCATCTGTAAAGAGATGGCTATGGCAGTCTATCAGGGCTGAAGTATTATCTTTCTTAGAATCGTTCAGCTCCAATCCTCTAAGGACCTGGGGTCTCTGCTGCAGGTCTTTCCCCCTGAAGAACAGGGAGCACTTGGTAAACTGGTCAAGTAAAGCCCACAACGAGTCGATTTAGGTCACTAAGATGGGAGTGGAAACTTGCAGACTGATCCTCCGGGATCAAAGCTGCACCACCTTGATCCAGTTCAGCTGTTCCCACCGCTATCCCCCAGGGGATCCAGAATCCTGCAGCCTTTAAACAATCCAGTAAGCTAAAGAAGAGACAAGGGTTAAACTGATCCAGTGAAGGTTTGGCCACAGGCCACTTTATTCCTTCTTTGGATCATAGATGTCAATGATTCAAAGGCATCAGCTTCCAGAAAGCAGAACACGGGAATCCCCAAGGCTGTAGCTCAAGGGTCTGAGGCTCATGTCCTAGAAAGCCATAGTTTCTTCTGGTTCCTGTTACAGCTGGACTAGTCAATTAAATGCTTAATCTCAACGAATGCAGTGGATTTTTCAGCCGAGGGTACTTCAGTTAGAAGTACTGTTACCAAGTTAGAAGTATTAGGTTTAAGCAGTTAATGAAATATTTCAATTGAGGCAATTGAGGTCTCAGGGGAAATAAAACCAAGAAAACACACGAGTCCCGAGTTGAGATTGCGATGACACACAAATCCAGTGCAGTAACACACAGATTCGTCATCATCCTTTTGGGATTTCTGGATCAGCTGAGAGCAATTGCAGCAATAACAATAAGGAGAAACGAGGCTGGTCGGACCACCCAGAACTCTGCCCTTGACCTTGACCACCACGGAGTCCCATTCTCATTCCAGACACCCACCTGTGCTGCTGTTTCAACCTGGACTCCCAGCAGCCCCTCGTCTTCCACGGAGAGGCCGCGGCACACTTCGGGCACCGGGTGTGCCAGTTTGGGCAGGCTGGCAATGAGAGGTATGTCTGTCTGCGTCCCCCAGAGCCCCGTCCCAGAGCTGGGTGTAGCTTAGCATTGGGTGTCCCTTCTTTCCACAGCGGTCATCTGTATTTTCAACTGAGCATCACTTGTGATCGCTCCCTCTTCCTTTAGTTCCTGAGACTGTATTAGAATTCATATGGTTAACAGATTCAGTGCAACGTAACATACAGTAAGTATTATGTAAAATCATGTTATTGTCCTCATTTAGTGTAGCATAGCCATGGTAGCTAAAGGAATTATTGCCATTACCTTACGGATCTGTGGTTGGAAGAGGTGACCCTCAGAGCAGACCCTCAGAAGCTTATGGTCTGTTTTTTCACATCTGTGAAGGACAGTTCTGCCAATGTGAACAGAGTTTGGGGATGTTTTCCAAGATTCGTTCTTCTGAGAATGCGGATCCTTTCTGTTCTTGTTCTAATTGCCAGTTTATTTCATTTCTCTCCAGGTGGATTTGTTGGAAGCAAATTTTTGTAATTGTTCACAGGTCTAAACCTGGACGAATGTGGACGATGATGAGATCATTTTTAATTGTCACTGTTGCAGAGCCTTTAAAGTAAAATTTTGTCCAAAATGACTTGAGTGAAAAAGCCAAGCGCTTTGCTGTAGCAGAAAGGAGAGGATGGGCTGGAGAACAGATGCAGCACTGACCAGTCATACTGTACAGTGTCAGTCCACTGAGTTCCTCTCTATCAGTCACCCATATCTCACTCTCATGCAGTGCATTAAGATTCTCTTTTCACTTTTACTTCTTTCTCTTTCTCTTCCCCACCCTTGTCCTCCTCTCTCCCTCCCTCTCTACAGTGTTGTGGTCAGCGCACCCCTGCAGGCTAACAGAACAGGACATGTGTACAGCTGTCGTTTCGGGACCGGGCAGTGCGAACGGATATCCCTACCAGGTAGAGGCCCCATTTTCCGCCATGTAGGATTTGGAATGTTTTGATCATGGTGCCACACATCCCTGTGGGTGGTCCATTGCCTTTTTTATGACTTCCTTCATTTATCCCCTCCCTGCTTTGTAATTTCAAGCACTTTGAAACAGTGATGCCCCGGGGAACTTCTGTGTCTGTTCTGGTTCTTGATCTATTCAAAAGCCAATTCATCTCAGGTGGTAACATTCTACCCTTATTGGTCTTTAATGTTGATGGAGAGAAACTAAATGCATTATGCAGTAGGTCTATCCATTTCAGCAGTTAACATCAGTAGTGTCTTAACATGGAAACCCCCACACAGAGCATTGCATCCCAGTCAGAGTGCAGCTCTGAGGAACATAAAGAGAGACACAGCTGCAAGAAGGTAATGGAGAAATTGAGCAGCTCCCCAGAGAATTAAAGATCTGTGAATGATAACGTACTCTTGCTGTTAAACTGTTAGTGGGCTGTTAAAGTTTTTCCTTGGGGGGGAAAAACTTTAGCACATCTGCAAAATCTTCACACCCCGCTGTACCTCACCCACTTCAGTTTCTTTATGCACCATCGTTTTAGACCCTAAACACAGGTAGTTCAGCGGCTACTCCTTTTGCAGCTTTAGAGGCCACCACAGTAAGAAAAAATAAACATTACAAAATGCAGTGAGTGGGGTGGTCATGTCTTTTTCTTTGGCACAGGGGATGCTGGGATAGCGATGGGACTGACCCTTGCCTGTGACAACAAGCAACTGGCGGTGAGTGTATGGCAGCGTTTCACAGTCTGTGGTGCCTTCTAGTGAATGCTGGGAGGGGCTGCTCCTTTTAATAATTACAGTTGCAATCATAAATTGATCAATTGGCGAGCCGGTCAGAGGTTCTACAGGTGGAGAGAACTGGAAGGGCTGCAAGTAGAGGCTCGGTAAACTGGTGGTGGCAATCGGCTCACCCCACTGCATGTCTGCTCTGTTATAGTTGCACAAGGCAATAAATACTTGCACTGTTAATTTGTCTAAAAACACATTCAAGCATCGGAGGTTTGAGCAATCGAGTTCAACGACGACATCAGCCAGCTGCATTCAGGATCCCTTGCAGTGATTGCACAGGGACTTGTCGGGTTCTTGCAGGCTTGATCTATCATTTCATGAGAGACTACAGCTCCTCCAGTCGGTGCTCACTCTCCGGTCCGACACTGTGGTGTGAGTCCAGAGGTGTCTCATTCTCTCCGGAGCTGGGTCCAGGACTCACTGCCCGGAAAGAGCACTGTGTCTTTAAACAAGAGGCAATGCCCAATTGGGTGTGCATGTAAGAAAAACATAAGGAGATTTCAAAATAAAGAACAATGTGCACAGGAGGTGTTATAAAGGCAGCAGTGTGGTATAGGACAAAAGGACAAAGTTGGACGTAAACTTGTGCACTATGCTGTCATAACGTACTCAGAAGGAAGATGAATTGTGGTGAAACCACACCAGCCTTTTCACTTCCTGTGGTGTAATTTTCCCATCAGTCATGTGTGGGGGTGCTTTGTTGTAACTTTATCCTCTCAGTCTGTGTCATACACATATCTGGGTTGAAGGGCTGTGGGGGGAGGTCTCACTGCACTCACGATCCGTCATGGGGTCCCACAAACTGCAGGCAGCAGCACGTAAAGCAGGATCTTATTCCAGATGCACAAAAGTCAGAGAGAAAATCTTTTATAAAAATATGAAGTCCTTTCTTGATTGTGGATTGCTGTCAACGCAGGGATGAGATGCTCCAGCCTTTTATGCAGCAGAGTCTTTAGGATTTTGTTTCATTAACTGTTTCATGAAACCATTAACATAGTTGATCTTAATTGCTTGTTTAAGACCAGATCAGAAGACAGATCTTATTCAGCTGTGAATTCACGAATTCAATTCAATTTAGGATTGGAGCTACTTAGTCCTCCATGTGATAATTGATCTTGCCCAAGCGCAGAACAGTTTCATGGAACTCATTTGCTTCCAAGAGATATCAGACAGGATTCGCTGGATCTGGTAGTTCTGATGGTCCTGGTTACTCTAGGTGCTGATGACGTTCCATTATGCTGAGGTCTCAATTACTGATTTGTTGAAATAACAGCTTTGTTTCATAGAACTTGGTGAAACCTGTTAGTTTCCATTGCTTTAAACTGCCAAAGACAAAGATTTCACGTTGCTTCTGAAACGTCACAGCTAGTGTGGAAACTCTAACATCTCCAGCCTTGTAAATGCGATGAACTCCCAGGGATCTGGGTTAGAACCGAACCAAGTGGACAGTGGATTGATAAGGGGCAAGTTGGTTAGCTAACAGATAAAGGAAAGGGCCTGTTATCTGGATGTTTCCAGTCGGATCCCACTGCTCTCACCCTAATACATTCTGTTGTCCCTTGAATTAGCCACCACCTTCCCTTCAGATGAATCTAAAGCATTTAAGAGGTCAGGAGGTGGCCCCCCATTCTGTCAGACTTCACTCTTTCCTCACAAAATGTCCATTCAAGACCCTTATCCATCCTTTTCTTGAAATATCCAATGGAATCTACTTTAACAGCATGGCTGGGCTGCCTGTTATACCAAGACTGTTGGATGTGTGTAAGGAAGTACCCTCTCTTCTTGGTCTTACATTTTTGGTCCGAATTGCATGGCTAATCATTGAACTGGATTTGTTCAGGATTTTAAACAAATCAAGCCCCGTCTTAATCACTTCTGTTCAAGACTGATGGGACTGGCCTGACTAAAATCATGCTAATCTAGGGAGGCACAGCTCCAGTCCTGAAGAGCTGCAGGACTTACGGGAATACAGTACATTCCACCTGAGCTCTTGGTCATGTAAATTAGCTAAATAGTGGGCTTCATTGAATCACGTTTTCTTCCATTTCTGAAGGTGCCAAGGATCCAGAAAGATCACCTGCTGGTTTGTGACACTGGGATCCCTGTTTTAAGCTCTTCGTGTCTCACATACATGTGAAATCAGCTTAGTGGCACTTCTTTGAGTGCTATATTGAGGGGCAGCACAGTCCTTTTCTAACACTGTGACCATCACTGCACTCGAAATGGCAGTCATTGACAATGAGGATCATTCCTGTTGTGACTGCTCCTGTGGCAGCTCTGGTGTATACCATCTACCAAATCTGTGCCAGGCACTTTTTCAATCGAAGAATCTCTTTGCAAGCCACGCTTCCTAGCGAGGCTCAGGGTGCAGAAGTGTTTTTTTTGTGTCTGCTTTCACTTATCGCTTCTGTTTGAGATATAGGAGGAAGCTGGGAGGTGAAGAAGCGAAACACCACATCTTGCATTAACACAGCCTCGGAGGCAGCTCTGTCACAACAACAGGAAGCCCTTCTCAACAGAAAACGAATCTGCCACATGGCTTTAAAACACCCTTTCAGGGCTCAGCCCATTCTTGTTTTTTGCATCTCTAACACAGCAATAAAGGGGTTGAAAGCTGTAGTCGAGCTTTTCATTTTTATCTCAACTGCTTCAAGTGTAGTAGTTCACTAGTTAGAGAATCCTTAATCATTTTAATCTTACTTTTCAACTCGGTTTCACTTAGCGCGTCACCTGAGGTCAGAAAGACCTAATGTGGGATATGTTGAGCACAGAGTGAACAGTCAGGAAAATTTTTGCCTTTGCATTATTCCACTTAGTCCTATATTTTAATTCTCTGGCTTGCGCTGAGTCTCCACGAGATAAAGTGACTATAGAAAATAAGTGGCCATCCGGACACTAAGAAATTTCCAGATACAAGGAACTGGAATGTCCACAGTAGATGTCCACAAATCGTGTCCTGTGATTGGTTGGTTTTACATGCGTTTTATTGTCTACTGCCTAATATTCCCCCTAAACACCTTCAGGTGTGTGGCCCTCAACTCCAGCATGACTGCGACCCCATCCCCTACCTCAATGGGTTCTGTGTGCTGCTGGGACCGGGCTTCGCAGTGAAGGAGACACTGAGACCTGCTTTCCAAGGTACAGTAGGTACCTAGAGGCCAGCCACTGGCTAAGGTATTCTCTTTCCAGGGAGCACATAGAAAATGGACTGTGGTGTCACTGTGTTAGATCATGGTATTATAAGGAGATCAGAATGCAAGAAAGTTCGCATCCATTCTGCCCACCTGACTTGTCAGGTTGCTATCATCTGATTTGCAACTTCAGCCTTTTTTTCCCATTTTGATTTTAAGGTGGTTTTGCCAGAACTCAAGACTGCTAACAGATAACTCATCTGTACGTCACTCACACCTTACACCGACTCAAGACTTGTGACCACTTCCTGAAAGCTGACAGCTTGGAGAGTCGATCTGTGTGCCTCTCCCTGAGCCATGTGCATTTAAAATCTTATTTAAAGAAGATGCATAAAGATCATGACGTGTCCCACTAGGCTTGTTTAACTAAATGTGAGAGGGTTCATAAAAAGGACTGGCCAAAGTACAGAATGACCCATTTATATCTTACTTGTGTAATAAAACAATGTTTGTTGAAGAAAATCACAAATTTATTAAATTATATTGAAGTACAAACATAGCATTTTTGTTTTACTGTACCCCCAACACTTAATATGCTGTGTTATGGCATGGAAATATGTCATTCCTGTTGGTAAGATCTCTGAGAGCGACAACACTACCACACTTCAAGTGGAGTTCAACACGTTTTATTCAAGTTGGGACATTGTAATGATAAATGATAAACTTAAAGATTCACGGGCTTGCCTGTAACATACAAAACATAAAATTAGTCTAAGTTCAAATATATTAGATGTATTAGGATCCCTATTCTCAACCCTCTGTCCAGTTAAATGAAGAGTGGCCTGCAATGAGTTGTTGGGCTGCAGGAGGAAAGTAGTTCGGGTGGGTAGCTGCGTCAGCATGCGTAGGCTGCAAAGGAACAAGTAATACGTTTATTCCATGCTGAAAAGAGAAGAAAGAAAACACAACATTTTGGCCATGGAGCCTTCATCAGGTGTGAGCTATAGGAGGAAAGGACAAACATCCATAATCGTTTATACCTGGAACAGCACCCCAGATTTCAATCCTAATTAAAATTCATGTTACCAGTACAAAGTGCAGTATAATCCCTCAGACACCATTACCTCTCAATACAACCTCCACTGGAGTTGATCCTGCTAGGATAATGTACCAGGACTAGACTGCAGTTATTTCAGATCCCTATGGAATACCATTCTTGTTCAGTTGCAATTACCCTACATGCTGTTGGTGGTGGTTCCTAATATTTTGGCCACTGTATATGCAGTTTACATGAAGTTCCTTCCTCTGTTCAGAATTATGCTCATTTCCACAGGGAAACATTGAATTTAGTGACATAGAAACTTGAATCGAATTTTTGCTGTTTATATTCTGAGTTTTGCAGAAGTACAGGATGGGCAATTTATCTCTTCCCTTAAGCAGGCAGATTAGAGAGTCAGAAAAAACATCAAACATAAAACATGTTGTTACTTTTGTTTTAAAGAAGCAGAGAATGATATGGTAATAGTAGGAAAAACTTTTTGGATTTGTTAATAAACTGCTTGGTTTGATTTGTTAATGATATTGGGTGATTGCTAAAACCTACATCATTGCTTTTCTGAACTTCTGAATTTTTTATCAGTCAGATAAATTATTAAGGGCAGTATCTTTGGGTTGGGTTGCATATGGAGAGAAGCCTAGTTTATATCTTCTACTTTTATAAGTGTATCACTATGACAAACAAGAGTAGTAAAACTCAGCGCTATATTGATAAAAGCACAGTAAAGCTTAGTAGAGCAGATTGGAATGTAGAAAAGCAAAGTCAGAACATGGTAAAATCACAGTACACTGCAATACAATACAGTGACCTCACGGTAACACAAGAGCAAAGTGTAGTTATGCAGACTGAAGTCAGAGTAACAGCATAGTGGGTGTGAACTTTCTACAGAGCAAAACCAAGAGTAAGATGAATAACCAGGAAGTATAGGTGGGAATTCTGCAAGGATCTCATGGACATTTACACGAGTGAGCATTTTTAGGAGCAGGCTCTGGATCAGGGAAAAGTCTACTTTAGGATGCTGGGAGATTTCTCATGTTCTGCTACCTGTTCCAGAATGCCGGGATTCTGGACTGGATGCAGTGATCCTCTTTGATGACTCCCAAAGCATCTCCGACACAGACTTCCAAACCATGATCCAGTTCATCAAGGACGTCCTCCGAAATTTCACCGACCCCAAATCACAGGTGGGGTTCTCTCTGTCTTGGCAAAGATTCAGACAAGGACTATCTTTCTTCTACCCCCTGGTCCTCTTGCTGTTTTGGATTCAGTATTTCCTCTATTCCATTCTTAGAATGATCGGGAAAACAAACACTGAAGTTGAGAGAAAGTTGGACTTTTGAGGTTCGGGTTCTGCTAGCTGAACCCTGAGATTGGTGTTTAAATCCAGTGCCACACCATACACAGTATATCACTCATTACAGTACCTACAAGGCACGTCCTCACTACTTCACAAGACACAGATGTTTTGCAGGTGCCCCCGATGAATTTGTCTGATGAGCATGAACCCCTTCCTTTCTGCAAAGACCAAAGATGATTATGTATGCCCAGATCGCTGTATAAATCATCATTCTTTCCAAAATGCTAGCCTACAGGATGCAGGGCCAGAGAAGATCTGATTTCAAACTGTCTTGGCTGCGCCACGGCCAGATGCTGCTGTGGGCCAAGAGAACAGTGACTTGCGGAATTCCTGTCCACAGTGTCATGAAGGAAGAAATTCTGCTCCTTCTATAAATAGGGGGCAGTGGGCAACATGTGCTGATAAAGAGCCCATTCAGAATAGGTGCCTAAGTAGTGTGGTGTGCTCCACTCATGATAAACGATGACTGATCCATTTTTTTACATGATGGGAGGGGGTGTGAACTTGTTGGGGTAGGGCACCACATTTATGTAAGTATGTCTAATTTTCTCCCTTTCTCCTGTTCTGTGTTCTCGTTGTCTCTCGTCTTTTGCTGTCTGTCTTCTCCTCTCTCATTCCCTCTCTGAGCCTCCTCCCTCATTTCTTTCACTCTCATGCTTTTCCTCTGTGCTCTTTCGCTCTCTCCTCTCTCAATTTTCACCCTTCCACTTCTTTCGCTCACACTCACTTCTTGCTCTCTCCCTCTCTCCCTCTCTGCTCCCTCCTGCTGCTTTCCCTTTCTCTGACTCTCTTTGCAGGTGGCCGTAGCTCAGTACTCCACCAATATAAGGACTGTGTTCAGCTTTAACACGTTTGTGTCGAACCGGAACCCAAACTCCCTGTTGAGAAACGTCCCTCACACGCAGGGCCAGACGCACACTCCCAGCGCCATCAAGTATGTCCTGTAAGTTCACCCTCCCCGTTCTTGGAAACTTGTGTTTGAGCTCCTGGAGATCTATCAAACCTGACCCCAGAATCTGACCAAAGTGCATCACTCCTTCTGTGTCTTTCATTCTGTGAATCTCAGAACAACCTCGGTACTGACCTACTGAAGTGGAGACCTGATGGACCTTTCTTATGTCCAGAGGTGTGACGTAGAACGTGTTGGACAGTGGAGGCAGGCTGCATCTGAAGTCTGCTTGCCTCTTTCTGCATCTTTCTTTCTCTGCGTCCACAGAGACAATGTGTTTACCAAGGAGCAGGGCATGCGCCAGGAGTCCAAGAAGCTGCTGGTGGTGATTACTGATGGGAAATCAAACGACCCCAAAGAGAAGTTTGAGAACGTCATCCCACTGGCGGAGAGCAGAGGAATCATCAGATATGCCATTGGGGTGACTGGCTGTTCTGAGACTTACCTTGGTTGTAATAGGTGGAGAAGGTTATAGACAGACAATAGAATGCAGGCACACTCTGACAGTAGCCCAACATGATCCTAAGATCCTAAGTACAAAATAATATAGAAACATAGGAAAGGTCTAGCTTTTCTGCTTGTTTGCTTGCTAGTATCCAGTGAATCTGCTTCAACAATATGGCTGGGCACCTTGGTGCTCCAGTCTCACATTGTTTTGTACATAAAGGACAAATGTGTCCTGTGGTTTGTGTTTTGTGAGATAGGCTTCATAGATTGATATAGATAAAGATACTGGCAGTTCTCAGTATTTAAGTATTGGCATCTTTATTTGGTTGCCTGTAATCCTAACCTCCATCTTCCCTTACCCATTCTGTCCATCCCTTCTCCTCTTTCCCGTCTGCTCTCTGCTATCTGTATTCCTCTCTTTCCCCTACCTCCCTCTCTCTCCTCCCCTCACCTTCTTCAGTCTTTCTTCCTCTCCCTACCACTCCTGCACCCCAGCACACAACTTTCAATTTATCTCTCTCTCAGGTGGGCAAACAGATCTCTAAACAGGAGTTGAAAACGATCGCCTCTTCCCCTAAGGATGTCTTTGAGGTCAACAGCTTTGAGGCCCTAAACTCCATCCTGAAACAGCTGGGGGAAAAGATTTTTGCCATTGAAGGTTTGTAGGAAATCTGCTTTTTCTGCTCACCCACTCAATTCAGCCATATCACCCTGCAACTCACAACTGGCAACCCACTGAAGCTAAGCAGGTGTGAGCCTGGTCAGTCCCTGGATGGGAGACCTCCTGGGAGAAACTAAGGTTGCTGCTGGAAGAGGTGTTAGTGGGGCCAGCAGGGGGTGCTCACCCTGTGGTCCATGTGGGTCCTAATGCCCCAGTATAGTGACGGGGACACTATACTGTAAACAGGCGCCGACCTTCGGATTAGATGTAAAACTGAGGTCCTGACTCTTTGTGGTCATTAAAAAATCCCAGGGCGCTTCTCGAAAAGAGTAGGGGTGTAACCCTGGCGTCCTGGCCAAATTTCCCATTGGCCCTCATCAATCATGGCCTCCTAATAACCCCCCTCTATGAATTGGCTATATTACTCTGCTCTCCTCCCCACTGATAGCTGATGTGTGGTGAGCGTTCTGGCACACTATGGCTGCTGTCGCATGATCCAGGTGGATGCTGCACATTCGCGGTGGTGGAGGGGAGTCCCCATTACCTGTATATTGCTTTGAGTGGAGTGTCCAGAAAAGCGCTATATAAGTGTAAGCAATTATTATTATTATTATAATTCTCCTTTACCCATGTTGTCTGAAATCTGTCCAATGGACATATGCAATCTCCTATCTACTTGTCTCATTCTGACTGGGGACATCGGAAAACAAGGAACAACAGAAAATCCTTTGAACTCAGTCTTGCCTCTTTGGCAGCTCAACTGTTCATTGGTCCCCATTTATTATATAATGTCTTCTTGCAGGATTTCATAAATTTGGGGACAAACATTGAAGATGTCCCTCCTGATTTCAGTGCTAATTGCTCCCTTTTGCCTAATTGATTAGCTTGTTATGACTGATGGAATTCTCTGGCATGTTGTCCCATGATGTGTTGCTATAGCTGCCAATGGTGTCTCATTATGTTGGATAAGTCTCTGTGGCCTTGGCTTTTCTAACGTTATGTTTTTTAAAGATCATTGACAATGATGTTCCCAAGTCACAATGATGGGACCGCTTGCTCTATAAGGACCTTGATGGTAATATTTAAAGGACTGCTTATATCCTTTAATCTTCAGTCCTTGCCTTTGCCATTCCAGTAGTCTGGTGACCCTGTTACCATGTATTGTCATTAGGATGTCCCTGGTTCAAACTCTCCCAATACACACAATCTGCACCTCAATCCTGAGAGCTACGCCCTTTGATAATTCAATTTAGATACCCTTAGCATCTTAGCATCATCCGTTGTTGGTGCCCACCCCCAGCCCCATTCTCAGCAAGACATTTTGGATAAAAGCATTCCCCAAAAGGACCGATTGTTCTTCCTCTTCCTCCCCAGGCACCAACAAGAAGTCCAACTTTACCTCTTTCCAGCTGGAGCTGTCTCAAGGCGGGTTCAGTGCAGCCGTCACAGAGGTCAGTGTGTGCAACCTCCCCACCAGCCCTCCTCCTTACTTAGTAGTGTCCCCCGTATTCTCTGTCCTCCCTGACACCTGTCTAGCCAAGGAGCACACACGCACTTTCCACGCAGATGAGTTAGCACTGTTTACATGGATTTTATCACAGAGGGTCTCTTGACCCGGAGGGTCTACAGTTTCCCTCACGGGATCAATAAAGTACAGTATCTATCTGTCTTGAGACAGTGGTGCCACTGTGTCAGCAGCCGTCCGTAAGAACACAGGCTTTTCAAACCAGAGGAGGCCTTTCAACATTTAGGGAAGGAAGAAGTGACATTATGAAATGAGTATGATCAAAGAACAAGCCCGTTCCAGGAAAGGGAAACATGGGTATAGGTGGATCTTCTCCTGCTATGCTCTGAACATGAGCATTCGTTAAGTTTCTTATACCTCAGAACATTCTTCTGAGTTGCCATAAATGTCTCATTTACGAGAGAAATACTCGCTCATCACTCGTCACATCCTCTCTCTCTCCACACAGCAGGTGTCTGTCTTCTTCAGCAACCTTTTCACACACAAATCACACACACACACCCATGTAGCACATTTAATTCCTAGGTAGTTTATTGATCCAAAGATTGTATTCAGTCGTTTCTTAAAATAACCTATTTTGATACTGGCTTTGAAAACATAGATCCTTAGCTTGTTCCATACTCCCAGACTAAGCCAAAATGTCAAATATCATGTAAAATGATACATCGGTCCCGGTATAGTGCAACAGCTACTGCATATAGATAAATTTCCGATCAGCAATTATTATTCCGGTTCCATGCAGCACGTGACAGTACCCTCATTGGAATCACTAACCATTGTGATTTTTTTCCTTACTATTGATCCTGGCAATTCCTTCAGTTCAGAATCAGAAACTAGTATAGCCCTGTGATAGTCTAACAACTCATGGAAAATTATCCAGGAGGTTGTCATCTTGCACTTGGGTTTCACTGCTATGCTAATGACATTAACTACAGATTGATCGGTTTAATGAATCTGATACTACTACTATAGTTTCTACATTTTCTGGGTGTCTGTCAGATATAAAGTCATGTACTGTGTACAAATGATATGCTTGAACTAAACTGTGACATTGAGGTATTGAGGTTATGCTCATAGGCGTCCAACACCAGGTTCTCAAAGTCGCTGACTTCTTTGTAGTTGTTGATGCTGTTGTCCTTTGGTGGAACACTAGCATTGCATTTGACCATCCACTGCCACTGGAAACCCATGTCAGACATATCACAAATGTGGCTTTTTCTACTTGCGTAACAATTCTTAGTAAAGGCTGTTGCTCTGTCTATCTGATGCTGAAATTTTGAAACATTTTATGTAACCAAGATTAGGCTACTGTAACACCCTGCTTACTGGGGTGTCTGCTAAAGTTCAAATTTGATTTCAGTGTGTCCAGAATTTCGCAGATGGTGTGCTGAATCAAACTAGTCTGTTTTTGCACATACTGTAAATCTCATCCTGTGGAAATTTCATTGGCTCCCTGTCAAAGGCTTCACTCCTGGTTTTTTGAGTCAGTTGACCATGCTCATTTCACTCATTCTCTCCACTTCCATAGCATGTAATTTATGTGCAGTATTTTACAGTGCTTCTAATTTTCAAAGCACTTATGACTAAAACTGTATTTATGTTATTTGTCTGCTGCCACCTAGTGAATTCTCTGGTTCATGCCGAAAATGGGTTTGCACAGAGGACAACGGAGAAGTGACATTTTTAAGTATTTTTTCACAATTAAGTCTTGACTTATTATGTGTTTTTGTCCTGAAAGCTACGCATAACTTACTGTACATCATGATAATGCATATTTAAAAAATATAACTAATGGACTGAAGCCAGATCTAAAGGTCCATCCATTTAAGATCTTGCTAGACCTCCACGAGAGACTTCAAATTTCTGAAATTCAGAGAGCTTTTTTGGCACGACCGATGAGTCTCTTCCTCTGCATCTCTCCCACCTCCTTCTTTCCCGCCCTCTGCTCTCCCGTGTTCCAGGAGTCCATCCTGTTTGGGGCTGTGGGCTCCTTCGACTGGTCGGGGGGATTTGTGGAGATCCGGGGTGGAGATCTTCACGGCACGTTCATCAACGCGTCCTCCCGAGAACCAGAATTCGCAGATTCCTACCTGGGTAGGGCCTCTTCTACCACACTCTCGCCTGTTATTCGTTCAGCACCCCAAGATACACATGTGTACCCACCAACCGATATATTAGGAACCCCCTCATATCAAACGAGTAGACACCATGACAGGACAGAGCATGGCAGGGTCTGAGGACCAGGAGACCGACTTTGACTTGGCCGGGACCTGTTGATCAATCAATCCCATGTACCTTTACCCCTCATCACAGCCTTAGCCGGAAGTGATCCAAATCTGCAAGAAGGATGGAACGAGTACATGCATTTCAAAACCTTGAGAAATCCCCCCCAAGCACTGTCCCAGCTGCTTGTGATGCTAAGTGCGTTATTCAAAGGGTATATAATATTTTGGCTAGTGGAGGTATAATGTACATTCTGTACTGTACAAATACTGTAATATCTATGACTAGTCTATATAAATGTAGAAGGGATATTTTGGACCAACAAGCCTAGTTAAACAAAGTACGCACTCAAACTGAGAGAGCCATGGTACCCATGGTAAACAGCGGTTTAGGACATTGCCTCATTTAGAAGTCACTACCAACTAGCTCAGTAAAAAAAAGATGCCAAGCAAGACAGGGGGCGATATCGTTTCTCTCTCTCTGTGTGGCAGGGTACGCCTTGGCCGTCGCTCAGCTAGCAGAGGGAAGAGTATACTTTGCCGGGGCACCGCGGCACACACACCGGGGCACTGTCCTGGGTTTTAAGAAAGGCCGTTCAGCCTGGGAAGTGGCATGGCGTTTGAATGGGACTCAGGTAATGGTGTTAGAACGCAGCTGTGAGCACTGTGAAACATTCTGATGGATCTTTTTGGAGGGGCTGTATTTATGTGGTGATGGGGGATATGAAAGGCGTTTGGCACAAATCCCCATTATCTTTGAAAATTCCTCAGTGTGCAGGAATACCCTTTTCCCTATGTGTGCCAAATGAGAAGGGACCATTGAGATCATCTTCTGTGTTTGGTTTTCCAGTAGCCAAATGATCAAGAATTTCTTCCAGTTGTTCGGAGAAGAATTCCAAACATTCATATTGGTGATTAGGGTGCTAACTCTTGACTCCCACAATCCTCTTTACTGGGGGTGTCCAAACCTGGTCCTTGAAGAGCAGTGTATTTGTTAGATTTTCATTCCAGATAATCTCTTATGTTACCTGCTTACCTGGGCCAATGAAACAGCTTCTCTCTTCTCAGCTGTTCAGGTGCTTCTGCTTTGCATACTGTCATCAAAATTTCCCTTGAATTCTACTCTAAATGATATAGGCCCAAGAATTGTGGTCCTTTTCCTTTGCTTTGGCTTTTGACCAAATGTAGTGAGGCTACATGAATGCCTAGCTTTCTTTCTTACAGCTCAGCAACAATCCATTTCCTCTTTCCATGTGTCTGTCAGCTGGGTTCGTACTTCGGGGCAGAGCTGTGTGTCCTCGACGTGACCGGAGATGGACGGACTGACCTCCTGCTGATCGGGGCGCCCCTCTTCCACGAGCCAGGCACCGGGGGGGAGGTCACTGTGTGCACCATTGCTTCTGAAGTAATCATGCATACTGTATACAGACTTTGTCCCGATAACCTCTCCTGTTGTCCTTTTGTCTCCCTCTTCTCTCTCTTTTTCTCTCCATGTGCCCCTCCCAGGATCTCCTTTATCTCCCTCTCACTCTCTCAGTGCGTCCCCTTTCTCTGTTTGGTTCTATCTCCCTCCTGTCTCAGTGCCTCTCTCGCTCTGTTTTCCCCTCAGGGCTTCCCGAACTGCAGCAGCTCCCTGAGGGGCTCGCCAGGGAATGAGCACGGACGGTTTGGGACAGCCATCGCGGCCACCCCTGACCTGGACGGCGATGGGATCCCAGACCTGGCTGTGGGGGCGCCTCATGAAGACGAGAGGGGGGGCAGCCTCTACATCTTCCTGGGGCACCGCAGGGGCGTTCACACACAGCACAGCCAGGTCGGCAGTGGCACAAGGCAATGCTCAAAGAGCACCAACGAGGGCAAACAGGGCCAAGGAGCCAGTGAATATCAAAGAGTGGCACAGTCTCAGAGTCTCCTGTCTTAAAGACAGGCAGAGTATACCAAGGATCTGAACAGGAGCCAAAGATTGCTAAAGAGCACCAACCAAAATTCCTTAAAATCTTTTTAAGAGATTTCAAAGAGATAAAATAGACTGAAAGAGTATCATGGAGTGTCAGAGAGCACCAGAGGGATATAACAATACATTTGTGCAATACGTTTACTGTATATTTATATCTATATTGTGCAATATGACTTTTTTGTGTACTGTTCTGTTCTGGTTTGTTCTTTATGTGTCCTGGACTGTAAGTAACTCTTCTTAGTGCACTTCTCACTGTACTGATTGTATTGTATGTATTGTATTATTATTATTGTGTCATTCGTTACACTGTGTTGTCTGTGTTAAGCTGCCGTTGCACTGCAATGTCCCTCACAGGATCAATAAAGTATCTATCTGTCTTTCTAACAGTGTTCAAATAGGGCCAACAAGTGCCAAACAGGGGGTTTGGAGTAAATAGATACCCGCAGAGAATCAGAGAATTGGATGGTAGTTAGTGTTTCTTAATACCGATAATCTCTGGGGGAAAAGCCTGATTGTGTTGACGAAGGCTGTAAGCTGACAATAACACTGCAGATATTTGAAGAACCCCCCCACCCCAGTCCTTTACACCTCTACTTGACATCCTTTACAACGGTCTTTGCAGCCCTTTGGTTCATGGCTCTTCCCCTCTGTGTCCCACAGAAGGTGCAGGGGGCGTCTGTCCGCTCCGGCCTGCAGTTCTTCGGTCAGTCTGTCCACTCCGCCGGCGACCTGAGCTGGGATGGACTGGCGGACGTGGCGGTCGGGGCCCGGGGGGCGGCCGTGGTCCTCAGGTGAGGGAGGTCCTGCACACCCACTCTCCCGGGTTACATAAGGGTTCAATTCTTTACCTACCCCAGGTCTTACAGAAGCAACCCTTTCTTAGCCATTGCCTGGACATGGGAAGAAAATTACTATTCATGATATTGAACATATATAGAGAATCAAGTAAGAGGTTTATTCCATGCTGAAAAGAGAAGAAAGAAAACACAACGTTTCAGCCATGGAGCCTTCTTCGGGTATCCAGGTGTTGACACACATAAATAGCACAGAATTGTACCCCTCTAGCGCTGGAACAAGAAAAGCAAGAAAAAAGAGGTTCTGTGGCATCAATATATTTTCTGTTGCCTCCCCAGATCCCAGCCTGTGATAAATGTGTCAGTGGCAATGACCTTCACCCCAAATGCCATCACTGAGAATAACTTCCACTGCGCCAGACCGATCATGTCCTCCACCCAGCCGGCCACCATAGCAACCGTTTGCATCGCCATCACTGCAGTGCATGCTGGGAAACTCTGTGAGTCTGTGAGCCTCCCTCTTGGTCCCATTCTTCTAAATAACAGCAAACTCTGCAAGGCTTTTAAAGTGCAAGTGGGCCTGGACTTGAGACCAGGGCGAATAATATTCCATTAACAGTACACAACAGGGACTGATTTTCTTCTCTTCCTGTGTTGGCAGCCAGTGGCCTCAGTGCCCGTGTAAATGTGTCAGTACGGCTAGAGCCCCAGGCCAAGACCAGCCGACTGCTCTTCGTCCCCGGAGACCCCACCACTCACTGGACCGGCACCGTAAATGACAGCGCCTGCTACAACATCAGCATCATTGTTCCGGTGTGTCAGTCAGTCTCCGTTTCTGCCTGTCACTCTCGGAGCTCATCCTTGTCAGTCAATATCTGAGCCCGTCTCTTGCCTGTGCGTCCGTCAGTGTCACTGACATTTTGTTTAAATGCACACATTGAATCCTTGTGTATATATATATATCACCTCTCCTTGTCTTGTGTTCAGTGCCCTAGTGCTACTTAGAACACAAAGGGTTGGTTTGCCTATATATATACTGTAGGAGTTATAGCCTTTAAGCTGGCACATGAAGGATTTGGGGCAAGGAATGGAGGGCAGCTCAGGCAGAGTTACAGGGTATCCTCAGAACGCAGTTCATGGCAGGACCAGCAACAGAGTGGCACACAGAGCAGCCGAAAGAGGACAGCAACCTATTGGACACCTCGTGTGCTTTAGGCTGGAGACTGATGACCATACCCGAAGATTGCACTGCAACAAAAGACAGGCAATCGCTTTGGGGGAAAGTCACGTGGGTGGTGATACATACGTACAAGAGCTTTGAGAGATGCATGTTGCGCCGCACCCAGTAAGTCAGGGCGTCTTTATTACCCCCCAGTCCTGTTTTTATTTGCAGGCCTGCATATCGGACTACAGCCCAGTTCCCTTGTCGGGCAATTTCACCGTGGAGGGAGAGAGGATGAAGGTGACAGATGGACTGAGACCCATATTAACACCACGGTGCCTCACCACGTTTGCTGACCAGGCAAGTCCAGGGCTAGTCAGTTTGAGACCCTTCACTCAGCAGTGCGATTTGTTTCGGGTTTTACTGCCTTGCCGGATCTTTGATGTCTTATTTGGTTAGTGTGTGTTTGAGTGCATTTTTCTGTGTTTTGTGCATGCGTGTGCTGGTATACCGAGTGTGCAGACTCACGAAGGTGTCTACATAAGGACACTAACCCTTGAGAAACATGCTGTGAGAACAGATGAGAAGGTCCTCCCAAGGCCAATTGCATTTGTTTGGAAAACCAGATCTTGGAAAAACTCTTTTCAACAGATCTCATGTTTAAGGTTTATTTTACCCCCATGCTGAAGTTTCATTTTTGCCACAGATGAAGAGCATGAGTGCCAATCCAAAGACCTCCCTAGTCTAGTGCACAACACGCCAACAAGTCTTTGTGTTCAGTTTGGTACAGTAGTTGTGTGTGTTGCAGGTCCTCCTGGAACAGGTATGTGGAGAGGACCAGGTGTGTGTCTCCGATTTGGGAGTAACCATCAACTTCACCAGGTGAGCTGTTGCTTTTCCCACACAGAGTCTATACCTGAAAAAGTCAAATTTGCATTGATGTGTGTATACTGTAGTAAGGTGCCTGAATATGTTCTTATTGTAAAGAAAGGTAATGGCTTTTACCTCTGTTCCTTGCTCTCTCAGTCCTATGGTCATAGCAAGTCCAAGATATACTGTGATTGTGCAAGTAGCAATCACTAACCTTGGAGAGGATGCCTATGGCACTGAAATGGCTCTGATTTACCACTCCGCCCTGTCCTTCACCAAGGCCTCTGTCACGCAGGTGAGCATTAGTGTCCCATCCTGTTTCCAATAAAAGGACGAAACTACTCTAATTGGTCTATGATTGACAGAGTGATTTTTCTGTTGTCTAGATCAAAGACTCACTTACATGTACAAGTGTTGAAAGTTATGTATTGTACATTTAAGGTCACAGCACAGAACCGAGAAAAGCTGCTTTTATATATTTTTTTTACTTTTGGTATTATTAGTAAGTGCACTTAAATGAACATGGTGCAAAACAGTTTTACATTAATGTTGGAATAAACTGGTAAATTACAATGCATGGGGTTTATACAATACATAATGGCATAGTATGTTGACTAAGACAACAGTAATTGCAGATTTCTATATGGCTTGGGGGGATAGATGTCCACATGCAGACAAACCCATAATTACAGAATCTGGGGTGGTATTGCACAGTCACAGGCAAGAGGATCTGGATTTGAAAACAGAGTGTATGAGATACAGTAAGTTGTCCTGGTTGCGCAGAGGTGCAGCAATCAATGATCTTAGTGCGATGTCAGTAAATAAGCAGGAGAGAATGCAGGAGACTATCCACTTGTCTCATTGTCCTCAAGCCTGGCCTGCCCGGATCTCCATAGTCTGTCAAGTCTGGGTTTTGCTCAGGAAAGAAAAAATTGGCTACATGAGTAGTAGCATCAGTAGACTGGTATTTGGAGCTCTCAGCCTCCTCCCTCTGCATGAGGAATGTCCAATCTAGCTCTCTGGTGTGGCAACAAATGGGAAAAAAAACCTAACTGCATGTTTCCTGAAAGAACAAAAGAAAATCTGCTGGTGTATGGGACCAATCATCGAGATCAGTGATCCTCTCTCCTGGTTCTCAAGATTCCCAGGTCTGCATTTATTAACAAGCAAATCCATCTCTTCCATGGTCATGCACTGGAAAACTGTAGTAATTCTGGTCAAATTTGTCACCAATTCATTAAGAGGTTGGTTACAGAAAGATCAGAAGACCTTGGCCTCCAGGACCAAGAGTGAGGATCAGTGATCAAGTTGTAGTGTGGACACTGACAATGTGTAATTAAATCCTGAATGATCCCAGTCTGAGATTCCTGATCTCTCTTCTCCAGTCAACCTGGAGGTCCAGTCTGTCCTGCTCCGGGGACGACAGGCAGGTGAACAGCACTGTGGTGAGAAGAGCCAGCTGCCAGGTTAGCGCTTCTGTCCTCAAGGAGAGAGCCAAGGTGAGGACCTCAGTGCCTCGCATGCACAAGCTCACTGGCAAGGGCCATGGCAAGTGCACACAATCGTTTTCCAAATGGGCAATGCAGTCCTGAAAGAGCCGTCCAATGCAAACGCTCTTCGAAACAGAACAATCTTAAAGGGCTTTTAAATAGGCGTTGTTTGTGTGGTATTTTGTTCTGCGTGCGCCAGGGTGATGCGTCTCGGATGGTGAGGAGATGCTTTCCTTATCTCTCAAGAACTGCTCTGAAACATTTCGTCAAGTAATGCTGATTGCAGTTGTAGGGAAAATGTAACATTGTGGGGAATCTAGCCTTGGGCTTCAGCCTTGTTCTGAACTGACCTAGGACATTGTATAAAGGATTAAAACAAGCCAGGTGACAGAGCGAGTTACTTTCCTGCAAGTGTATTGGAGCTAGTTTGGACACGGTGACATCATCGCCCTCCCTGCACGTAGCAGGGACCTTAGCCGCCTGGGCTGAGGGAGGTCCCCTTTAGCTCACTCGGCTGGTTCCCTGTCGCGTTACAACGGAGACCCGGGTTCACGGGTCGAACTGGCGGGGTAGAGCGGCGAGGGCACAAGCCCGTGCGGAACCGCAACAGTCACACAAGACAGGTCTCATTTCTCCATTGCACATCCTTCGCTCTCTGCCTTAGGTAACTCTGCATGCCTTCTTCACGGTATCCCACCCAGAGCTCCTGGAAGACCACCTCCAGCTGAATGTATCGGTCCAGAGGTGAGTATTAAGAACAGTAAGGTACAGACCGATAAGAGGGGCCCATTCTGTTCCTTTGTCTGATTGCAATCCAGGGTTCTTATCCAGCCATTCCTCACAGGATTCCACCGAATCTGGTTCCTCAATGGGGATGAGTTTTGTTCCAGGCCCCTCACTATTATGGGGATCAAGAGGTCTTCAGAGGTACCAGGGTGAATAATTAACAACTGCATTCCAATAAAGTGTTGCATTTAATACAATTAGTTTTCATTTTTTCTTTGCAGTAAAAATGAAAATTTGACCTTAGAAGACAATTTTGACAGCTCTACAGTCCCTGTCTTGCTACCAGTTGACATCGTAGTAGAAGAGTAAGTGCTCTAATAGGGAGGGGTCAGAGCTGTAATATTCTGCTTTTGGCAATTGAAAACTAATAATAGCCACAGGGTGAACCTGTTTAATAATGTTGTTCCAAATAGACATGCTTTAAAATGAATAATGGGGTTTGCTATATTGGTCTTTCTTCATACCTTGAAATGCCTGAATATTTCATCATGTCTTTGCATGTCTTGTGTTTCAAGTGCTGACTCAACTTACAACATCATCTTTCTCGAGACGTCCCAGACCAGCAGTAACATGGAGCATTCATACAAGGTACCTTCACTGTGTTCTCATCTCAGCCCTATTCATCACTGTGCATCAACGTAACAACTGTTACATACTGTTACAGTCCCAGCATCCCGCCACCAGGGGGCACGGCACTTTAACCTCTGGTGTCTACTGCATCCATTCAGAAGAGGCGTAGATCAAGCAGATGGCATTAGCCAATCCCTGTTTGCCTAGTGTCTTTACATCACTACGCCTCCCCCTCCTCAAGCCTACTTAAACCCTGGTCTTTGCTCAGTCTTGTTTTCAACATCTTGAGCTCTCCTTCTTGGCTTCTGGCCTATTTTCTGGATTTTGACCCGGCTCTTGACCTTGATTTTTGGATCGTGTCTTTGGCGCTTTATACTGAATCTAACTCCTGCTTTTTGGACTTTCACTTGCCTTAAGACTCTGGTTCTGGACTAACCTATTTAACTGGTTTTTGGTTTTTTGCAACCTTGTCACCCGTATAGGGTTCATCTCTTGCCTTCTGAGCTGTGATCAGCCCAATGCATATGTAAGGAGGCTATTTGGCCCCACTAAACTGTTTGATAATAGTTAACTGTGTAAAGAGCCTCCTATCCTGATTGGAAGACCTTGTCCAGATGGTTCGTAAAAGAAGCCAGGGTATCATCCTTAACAAGGCAGGGTAGCTTGTTGGGGAACTGGGAGAGTGAGAGGAATGGTGTGCGCTGGTGGTTATAGCAACAGTAGATGCTGCCACTTTTAAAAAGTTGCCAATGTTCTGATCTCTTGATTATCAGGTGAAGAATGTGGGTGATGTTGACCTGCCTGTAGATATGACCTTCATAGTCCCAGTGGAGCTGAGATCGGGGTTCGTGTGGAATGTGTCAGCTCCTGCTGTAAGTACCCCAGGATCTACCTGGCTCAGTAACAGGCATTTAAACTTCAAAGTCTCAGATGTGCCGCAGAAACTCTCCAAAGATGTTTGTCCCCGCAGGACAAGGATTGCATCAGACTAGGAGACCTTCATCCAACCCCCGAACAGTCCTTGAATGACAATAGAACCACTTCATTAGAGAAGGTAAGAGTTGACAGTCCATGAATGGATGAGTAGTTGTGTGGACATAGATATACAGTATATTTCTGTTTGCTTAGTAAAAGTCAGTTATGTCACTCTTCATAGACCTAATAAAGTCTAAAGACCTCACAGTGTCTTGAAGATTGGGAACCAGAATTAAGCAGATAATGTTTCTTCAGAATTCCTGTTGCCATCATTAGTTATGTCAAGAAGAAACATGAGTGAGACAGTTCCTTTGACAGCCATGCATGCTGTCACTCTTTACAGATTGGGTGGTGTTCTTCACAACATCTGTAATTATTTTTTATCCTTCCCATCACTTTGGTAAAATTTATTTTGATCTCATCTCTCTCCGTAAAACTTTTCTTCATGTTTCAAAATTGCCCTTATTCATCTTTGTGCTTCAAGCTCTGAAGCATGGTGGAGTGTCAAGTCCTGGGCATGTTTGGGCACCTCTGGAAGTGGCTCACTCCTCTTTACTGATGATCTAATACCCACGAACCTATAAGGCAGTCCATGCCATGTTCTCTCAAACAGCCATACTCTTGGTCTCCTCTTACTGCTTGTTCTCTTCCTCAGTTCTGCAACGGAACCCTCTGCCTCCACTTTGGCTGCAAAATTGACCGGCTGACCAGGAATCAAGAAGTAACCTTCACGTTTTTAGGGAATATCATCCGAAACCCTGAGGTAGGGCCAAAATCCTGCTACCAGGCTAGAACCCTGACAGTGCCTGAAATTGGGCATGAGGAGATGAGGCCTCACTTACTGTATCACAAGGCGTGGGCTCTTTTCCATTTTGATTTGTGTCAGGAGAAATTGAATCACAGACCCATTTTGGACAATTTGAGTACAAAATTGTTGTCCTTTTGGGAACGCTCATTTGTCCCCCCCTCACATAGACTGTCCCATCCAGGGTGTAACCTGCCTTGCACCCAATTAGGCTGATTAGGCTCCAGGGAACCTTGATGCTCTACTGGATTACATGGGAATGAAAATCAGATGGATTGATGACACTGGTGACTACAGCTGACAATGACTATGGGCAGATTGCATTTCAATGTGAAAATCAGTCATAAGTAGTTTCTTGTAAACCTTCCTGATAGCTGTCTGTTGCATTAATTACACATGTCACTGTATTAGTCATGTTTTTATTGCTAAGCATACACAAGATGTAAAACATTTAGAATCTGCAGATTTTTCAACATGTATTGAGTTTGAAGTTTGAAAGAAAATGATCCTGGGAATTATGATGGAACTGGCTAAAATCATTAGCCAAACACTAAGACCTGGAAAATGGTTGCTACATATGCTGGCTGATTGCATGAATCTCTTTTGCCTTTTGTCCAGTCACAGAAGAATGGTGTGCAGGTTACAGCTGAAAGCTGGAGCTTCCTATCCTTTGATGAGCGCAAATACATCCAGTTCCCATCAAGTAGTGTTAATCGATTTTCCGTAAGTATGCTGCCTTTTCCAAATTCCAACACGCACTCATCCCTGCAAAACAGCAATAAGGTGTCAGTTCTGTGGAAATCTGTGGCTTGACTAGGTCAAGCAGTCTTGTTTTCATATGGTCAGCTATGGGTACCATTGTTAAAGAAAACGTGGCAGTTTAAAAGCCAATCAGACCCTTTTCCTGAAGTTAGTTACCCTTCTATTCTGTGGGACAAAATAGTGAAGTTGTGGTAAAGGCACAGGAAGTTGTAATAAAGCACAGTGCAATCATGGTAAATCCACAGTGATATGCAGGAAAGCAAAGGCATTGTAAAACCACAGTGAAGTGATAGCAATTATTGATGCCAGTGACTAATTTCCCCATCAATTTCCCTACGGGATTAATAAAGTATTATCTATCTATCTAAACCATTGAATGCTCAAGATTACAATGAAATGACCTGCCACAATGTGGTGCCAATTTACTAATGGTGTTTTACAGCACATTGTATATTGTACTAATTTCTTTCACAATGCAGGATGTGCACACGGGATATTTGCAGTATTCAACAGTGGTATTTCTGTAATAAAACTTTGAGTACCAAGTTGATGAAATACCAGAACCTATTTGTGGGGGTGAATTTTCAAGATGTTTGGGAGTACTTTCCAGTCATATCATAGCAGCCAGGGGTTCTGTGATGAGGATTTTAGAAGTCTGTGCACAACTACATAATCCAATGTTTCTTTCCCATCCCATGCAGGTTAACACTGTTCTGGAGGTGCCAAGGCAAGACAGTCTGGTGGGCATTATTGTGGGCAGTGTTATAGGTGGCCTGGTCATCCTCATCATCATCTCATTGGCAATGGCCAAGGTAAATAGCGAATATGAACATTTTAAAAAGAGAGGTCGCAAACGAGATGAGGCCGTTCTTCTCTAGCTTGTTTTGGCACACTTTGCAAAGATACTTTATAGGTTACATATAACCTATAGGTTTCTATGGAGACTTTATGGACATTTTGGTAGGAACCTTCCCATCTCCTCAGCACATCTAGGTGCAGTGTAATTGGCTGCTGTGAATTGTACCTTTCATGTTGGATTGTCACCAGTACAGCTGTCATAGCTATGGCACTGTGTGCTCCTCTCACTTCTCATTTCTAACTTTTCAAATTTTCTCAACCATGATTGTCTTTCCTGTAACCACTAAACCAAGTCATGGCCTTGTGCTACCCTTTCTCTGTGCAGATGGGCTTCTTCAAGAAGCCAGAGACAGAACAGAATGACGACAAGACAGAAACGAAAGAGCTCGAGATGGAGAAGGAGACCGAACTCTAGCGAAGCCTGGACTGCCTTAGGATAGTCCCATCCCTTTGGGGGCCCAGGAGGACTCGGTTGTAGATCCAACTTGTCATTTTGAAGTTGAGCTCAGTGAGCAGCACACGGGGGCAGAACTGAAAACATCTTCAAAACCAATTTTGTTCCAGTAATAGAAAACGCTGTTCATTTTACCAATCATGGTCTCCTAATAATCCCCATCTATGAATTGGCTTCATTACTCTGCTCTCCTCCCCACTGATAGCCGATGTGTGGTGAGCGTTCTGGCGCACTATGGCTGCCGTCGCATCATCCAGGTGGGGCTGCACATTGGTGGTGGTGGAGGGGAGTCCCCATTATCTGTAAAGCGCTTTGAGTGGAGTGTCCAGAAAAGCGCTATATAAGTGTAAGCAATTATTATTATTATTATTATACATGGTGTTTTAGCAGTGCATGAAATTAATTCCCAGGAAATGATGTGGAGGCAGAGACACTTCAAGTCCAGGCTTGATACTTTGACAGATTCTTGCAATTTGTGGAAAAAATGAAGGCAGGGAATGGCCTATTAGTGCCAAATGGGAAATCTTGCACTTGGCACACTTAGCATAATGCCTAGGACCTATTATATTTATTAGGGCCTACGAAGGAGGTGACTAACAAAAAACGAGCTGAAACAACACGCTTGTGATCAACTCTAGGTGCTCCAAGTCAGTAATCATACGCTCTCTAGCAGCTGTTCCAGAAACTAGAAGTATGGAAGTGATGGTCACTCGACTCGCTCCATCAATCACGTGGTTCAGCATGAGAATAGTTAAAAAGTGCATCATGTCAATCAATTGGTGTTTACCCCTCATTTGCACATTTTGCAGTGAAAGTGACTCGGGCCTAGGGACACCAAAATCCAGCCCTGTTTGTGCCATGTGTTTTCTTAAATTCAGACCATATTGAATACACCCTTCTGGCCACTGGAAGTAGTGCAGGGCTGAAGTGATCCCTGTTGACCCTGGCTGTGAACAACTGGGCTTAACTTGAATGTGACGCAGGACACCACATCTGGCTCTCTCAACTTCCAGGGAAAATCACATGGATGTTTTAACTACCACGGTTAACCATTTAAAAACATACACATCCTGAATGTTTCAACTACCTAAATTTGCAATAATAAAATGGATACATTTGAAGTATGACAGGAGGAGAGACCCAGCTCTCACTGACAGCACTGAGAGATCACAGCAGAGTGAGCACTGACTGGAGGAGAGACGCAGCTCTCACTGACAGCACTGAGAGATCACAGCAGAGTGAGCACTGACTGGAGGAGAGAC